ATTTGATTTCATTTATGAAATTTCAAATTATTATTTTTTCTGATCATGTTATAAACTAATATTTCACTTTTAATTTGATTTTTCATGTTTAAAATTTTATTTATACAATTACATAAATGTTGATTTATTCTACCATGAATTTAAATTTTACTTCTATTCTAAAATCCAGAAACACATTTAAAAGTTGAATTATATTATTACCACTAATAAAAAATTATAATATATTTTTTCTTATTTTAACATTTCATTTATTTTATATAATTTATTTTTTATTTATATAATTTTATATAAATTATAAGTAACATAAATATGCATTAAATACATATTTTAATTTTTTAGTGTAAAATTAAAAATGTTGCTTATGTGGATGCTTATGTGGCATCATGAGAAAAGAGAAAAGCTAACTTTATATATATAGATTAATTTATATCATTCAAAATACTTCATTGTTTTACTTTATTATTATTACTTTCTTATCTAATCTATATAAATCATTGAGTAACTATGTATTTTATTTGTACACGTAATAAGCCTAAATACAAAATAGATTACTTATTTTGTCTAAGATTCAAATAATTTGCAATCTTTAAATTAGATGGATCTCATTTTCTTTGTCTGTCTAAGTTTGGAGGTATCGATTCATTCATAATCCATGTGCACGCCAATTTCTGTTTTTGACATCGTCATAAATTATACGTCTTTCTATATCTGAGGGACCGAATTCGAATCCGGATTTAGTGAGAAAACAACATATGTGAGAACAACTAGCTCACTGGCGCATCACACAATTATATTATACAATCTTAACATTGAAACATATTTTCCAAGAAATAACATAACGTTAAATTAAGCAGGTATAGATTTTTTTAAGTTTTGGTTCTCGTCACCAAGCAATTTCTTTTTTCGTTTTTTGCTTGCTTGTTCAACTTCAATAATGACGTTATTAAACAGGCCCAAAAGCTGTAAGGCCTAAAAGGCCCAAACTTCGAATGAACTCCTTTTCATGGCCTTTCTTCAATACGGGCTATCTATTTTTCTTTTTGGCTAATTTCATGTTCAATTGTATATAGGGTTATTTTTTTCCATGTGGGTTACTATTTGTTTATAGTTAAATATACAACTAATTTTTTTCCATGTGAAATTATACAATTGTTTTCCCATGTGTTTTACTATTTGTTATTAGCAATTTAAAATAACAGAAAAAAAAATACATTTAGAGAACCATTTTTTTTCGAGTTACCTACAAAGAAGTATGACATATTTTTTTTCTTTTTTCTTTCGTGAAAGCAAATATGACATCGGCTTTAGCGATCATTTTAATTAGTGTCCAATAACAAAGATACAAACATATCGAAGTGGTAACTTTGGAATTCAGTTTGATAAAAAATTTGGTTTATGCTTTTCATCAGTTTAGTCAATTTCACAAATATATTGTTAAAAGTGAAACTTTTTCTTTTTGGTTCTGTTTTTCTCT